CAATGTTTATTATCCACGTGTACACACTTTAGTGACCTTGGCGTACCCCATAGACCAACTGCCTAATATCCACGTGTACACACTTGTATCGATATGGCCAGTATCCACGTGTACACACATTTGTATCCATATGTCAGCTGGACCCTAAACCCTAAACACAGATGGATAAAGAGGTGTGTACACGTGGACTGAGTATCTCATATCCACGTGTACACCCTGTCTTATCCATATGTTTAGTATCCACCAAACATTCTTGGGTAGCCTCGTATATACACATAACATCGATTTATTGAGAGTGTCCACACTTATGTATAAATGAACGCACAGTACACACTGCATCTGAAATATGTCAATGCAGATGATATATAAGAATGCCAGATACACTGAACCAGGTTGTGCCCACGTGTACGCTCATGTGTGTCCATACGTCGAATATCCATGTTGGAACACGTTTAATAAACAATGTAAATATGTACACGCTTAGATGGACTCCTTTAGTACATGAACGTATCGAGGTGGGTACATGGTTACGTCCTATGTTTGAACTTTGTATTCATAGTTTGAAAATGTGTATGTAATACACGGAGGTATTAACACACGTTCACGCTATTTCAATGAGAAATTAACCACATGACGATGCCACAGTATTCACATGGATACTGGAAGTGTCCTCATGTGGATACTCAAAGACAGCTTCACGAACACTTAAGCATGCGGACACATATTGTATCCTTATCTCCAGTATCCACGTGCACACACCTCCTTATCCATCTTTGTTTAAGGTTTAGGGTTCGACAGCCATATGGATACAAATGTGTGTACACGTGGATACTAGACAGTTGGATACAAGTATGTACACGTCGATACTACGCAGTTGGTCTACGGGGGTACACCAAGGTCACTGAAGTGTGTACACATGGATAAAAAATATTGTTAAACGATCTACATGGATACTACGTAGTTGGTCTATCAATATGTCTACTATCCACTTGTCTTCCAGTTTGTCTCTATATGTCTATTATCGATGCTTGGACACGTTTAATGGTCAATGTAATCATGTACACGCTTAAATGAACTCCTATAGTATCCACGTCTACACACTGTCTTATCCATATGTTTAGAATCCACCAAGCATTCTTGTGTATCCTCGTATATACACATAATCTTATCCATATGTTAAGTATCCACGTGTACACAAAGTCTTAGCCACGTGTACACATAGTCTTATCCATATGTTTAGTATCCACCCAACATTCTTGGGTATCTTCGTATAAACACATAACATTGATTTATTAGGACTGTCCACACTTATGTATCAACGAGGGCACAGTACACACTGCATCTAAAATACGTCAATGCAGATGATCTATAAGAATACCCCGTGGACGTTGAAGTATCCACATGTTCACCGTATTGTCCAAATGTACACGCAGTTGGTCTTACCAATTCCATGTTTAAATATGCATCTAAACATAGAAAACAACTTACGTTCCCACGCTGCTATGTGGATTTAAAATATTTCTTATCTAAGCTACAAAAATTGACAACCATGATCAAACCTTCATACATCGTTTACACTCATTAGGTCTTAAGTTAACAAAATACATCCAACAAACACGTCAGTTGTTAACAAAAAGAAAACCAACCTAGAAAACCGAAACATACCCTAAAAACTTAAAAATATTGTCTTCCAACATCCACATAGTAGCGTACAAAGGCACAACCCATCTCAATCACAATCAAACGTACAAAGGCACAACCCACCCCTTGTAAAGATCCATTGCATACTGCTTCCTAATGATGTCGACAACCTCATCATTCAGGCCCGGGTTTCTAACATCCATACCATTTGCATGCATCTCCATGAGCTTTGCAGCCAAAGGCACACAATCTCCACCCCGCCCGTTCTCGTATACACCTACAACCCTCTCAATCAAGAACGGAGCAAACTCATGCTCGCCAGCATCAACCGTTGGGCTCACCTTACGGGCAATGTACGGTAGCATCCTAGACATATCTCCCAGCAACTCACCAACTTCTTCCTCTGAATTCAGACTTGGGTTTGGGTCCAACACCAAAACTCTCCACTCCGATAGACTAACGCACAAGCCTACCCAATGAATTCCACCCCACTTCATTGGCGTATAAAGCCTATCCACCTCCACATCCCATGTCATATTCTTCATAGTCAGATATTTCGTTACCCTTGCATCGGCCACAACTACAGTCTTATCATTAGCCGCCTTAAACGATCTCGCTCTCCCCTGCAAGTGACAGGCAAACCATGGCGGCACGAACATACCCTGATTCATCAAAACAGCACCTCCATGTCTCTTCTCAATGAACTTCATCAAAACCTCCATATGCTGTTCCACAGAAACTCACCCGAAAGCAAAATGGTTCAGCCTTTTCAACGGAAAAAAAAAATAAAAAATACGAGCTTCTTCAAATTTACCTTATCAGACAACATATACTGAGACGTTGCTAGTTCAATGAAAAACTTATTATTCAGGTCGTCTTTGCCTCCTGCCTTTGCATGAACTCTGTCAGAAAGATCAAAAAAAAGACATCATTTAACATCTGATTTGATTACAAGCAAATGCAACGCAAATAACCAACCAAACTCACGCTTCCTGTGCCGTCTCCAAAACCTTTATAAAGGCTGGATAATAACAGTCTTCCACAGTGGGGACAATTTCCGGTACTTCATAAGGGTCTTTCGTTAGAAACAAGGCAGCTAAATGGGCTTCCTGCTCACCCGGTCTGCGCAGCTCTATTAACACACTAGGCCCAACTTCCAAACCAACCTGTCAAGATATAAAGGCGACGCACACGTCAGTGCATAAAGATGTCTACAGATATTTAAGAAATCAAATTCAAACATTGTCCAGGTGTACAACGCAAACTATGTCCACCGCCTAATTCTACTGTCCAGGTGGACAATACGCTAAGATGCCCAAGAACCCTAACAACAAATACGGAGATATAACTGCAAGTAAAAAAGTACAAACCCATATGTTCAGTAGGGTTGAAAACTACCCAAAAGAAAACTAACCCTTACAACTAATAAGGTCATATACCTGTACCGTGTCCTTCTTGCTAGCTTCACAGGTTTGCAAGCAACTATCAGGTCTGCTTACAGTAACCTACAAAACACAAAGCAAAATGTTCATGACATAGAGATAAAACACCCAACCCGAAAAACCCATCTGCCTAATTAACAACATCTCAATGGACAACAAAAATCTGTACACCAAGCAATGTCAGTGTACATATGGTCAATCAAAAAGGGTATCCAGCAAAATCATACTTCATCTCCAACAGTTCCAGCCACACTCTCATCAACAGCTGCAGACACGCTCTCCTCATCCCCCCCAACGTTTGTCTTCTTCGGAGTCATGGCATCGCAATCGACCCTCTAAAAGAAACAAAAAAAAATGTATTAATAGTGTTTAGATAGACAACCAAAAAAAAGTCCACCATACACCTAAAGTGTTTGTGTGGACAATAAAAGAGTGTCCACCAAAAAAAGTCCACCTCACTACCCTCGACAGCAAAAACCTCCCTCGTACCATCTCCCCCATCACTGGTATCCTTAGGAGTCATGGGATCACTAACGACCCTCTGAAAAAAACAAAATCAAAAAACTATTACTAGTGTTAAGATGGACAACCAGGAAAAAGTACACCATAAACCTAAAGTGTATGGGTGGACAATAAAAGAGTGTACACAAGTTAATACCTGCTCCCCAACAGGTCCAGACTCACTCCCCTCGACAGCTCCAGACTCCCTCGTATAATCTCCCCCATCACTGGTATCCTTAGGAGTCGTGGCATCACTAACGACCCTCTGAAAAAAATAAAACCAAAAAGCTATTACTAGTGTTAAGATGGACAACCTGAAAAAAACCACCATAAACCTAAAGTGTATAGGTGGACAATAAAAGAGTGTACACAAGTTAATACCTGCTCCCCAACAGGTCCAGACTCACTACCCTTGACAGCTCCAGCCTCCCTCGTATCATCTCCCCCATCACTGGTCTCCTTAGGAGTCATGGGATCACTATCGACCCTCTTAAAAAAAAGGCCAAAAAACATTTTAAACGTGTACAAAAAAAACAACATTTAACCAAACACTAAAATAAAACAAACTTCTAAAAACCTGGTTATCATGCGACGTCACCGCATCCTCCGCCCCGACTACTACATTAGTCGATGTTTGTTCCTGCAATACCCCGAAATCCACGTACGTGTTGCCACCAGCTGCGAACATCTCAGGTCCACTCTTGCTTGCCTGTGGACATACAACATTTTATTGACGGACGTATGAATTCAACGCAGGATATAATGAAATTTACCGTAGCTTCAGACGTCCCAATGAAACCCTGAACCACAACGTCCAACCTCTCAGCATCCTGAAAAGAATGGTTACGAAATTAATATAGGTAACAATTACGTAAACAGAGACGATTATTAGCACACAACAGAAAAAAATAAAAAAAATACCTCAACTGTTAAACCGTTACCGGGACTGTGGCCACCTGTATCATCGGCTACGAAGCTATTATCCTGCCCATCAACGTAACTCAGTGGGTTAACATTGGCTAACACGCCCAATAGATCACCCCCGCCTAAACCTACCTGACTATCAGCAACGAAGTAGGTGTTGCTAGTCGTGCCGTCGTATAAAATATTACCGTCCGGACCCGGCCGCCCACCATCCGCCCACTGCAGAGGGATCCCGTCTCCTTGCTTCATCCTAACTAACAACCGTGGTGCCTCGTCAGACGAGAAACTGTCTTCAGCGCCGCTTTTCTGAGGTACTACTTCCTCTCCAATCAAAGGCATCTCATCCGACCCATCACCGTCAACCTGGTTGTTAGGACTTCCACCACCGTGTTGAGAACCTCCACGGTCTTCACCACCATCATCACCCTGTTGGGAACCTCCACCCTGTTGCGAACCTCCACCCTGTTGAGAAGCTACACCCTGTTTCCTCACAGAATCACGTTTCCCACCCCTTCTGCGACCAACTCGCCTAACAAGTGACCTAACAGTTTTCTTCAACAAAACAATCTCCTTCTTCAAAGCCTCAACCTCCAAACTCAGACGGGCCACAACAATATCTACGGGCCTTTCCGAATCGCCACCCGAATGACCATCTCCTCCCTGATTCATGGAAGGCCCCTCTCCGTCACACTCCACAGCATCAACCCTTTCACTCACCCTTCTCTTCTTCTTCTTAGCACCGCCGTGAACATAAAGGTCCACACGCATGTCACCTCCACCCCAGTCCGTCTTGCGGAATACCCTGCCTTTTTCAATCGCCCCTGCCATGTAAGCAACCTCATGATCCATCCTCTCATCGTCGAAAGGTATCCACTCCTCCCCACCCATGGTTGATAGCTCAAGCATGGGTTGCACTTTTAGCTACAAGAAAGACAAAAACAAGTTACAATCAGACACAAATTAGCAAGATGGAGAATGACATAGGAAGAAAGCATTTCGTATCCATACGTACACTTAAATTGTTGTCCACAATTAAAACACCATAAATCAATCATCTCATTGTCCACATGTACACGATTGCGGTGTCCACATGTACATCAATTTTAATGGTCTATCCAGCACAGTTGTGATTATGATTAAACAAAAAAAGGAAACGCCCAATCTAAATGTTGTACACGCGTAAAGAATTCAAGAACAAAAAAAACTCACACATAATATCCACACAAACTCTGCCACAGTGGTCTAAAATAAAGTACACATGGACACTACCGAGGTGTACACCTGGTAAAACTACCTATCACACAACGCTTACGCAATTAGGTGTCTAGCGTAAACATCAATTCGGTGTCCACGCGAACACTTTAAAGATCAATACAACCTAACGTCCTAAGTTATAACATTTTAACCACACTAGCCACCTACTCACAGAAATAATTGTGGAGTCGAGAATACCTCAGGGTCGTGCTCAGCGTTACGAATGTCGATTATGTTCAACCCCGCATGTTTCGGTAAAATGGACTTCTTGTAGTCCTTCAACTTCACACTATCGTCACCAGTCAAACGAGCAATCAAACAAGGGATGCATTCATAAGCCACGAGCTGTAGCGCTAAGGGGAACCCAACCATTTTCGTTGTCTCCTGCATCAGCCGCTTAACGAACTCCCCTATAGGATCTTCAACCTTATCAAGAATCTTAGGGCCAGGCTTCATGGTACTAATAGTCCACAGATAGGATTCTCTTCCCCAAGGAAATGCGAAAAACTTCCTCAGATCCTCCACTAGCATAACATACTTCAAACTCGGCCTTGGATTCTGCGAAGTCCTCACCAAAACACCATCCACGATTATAATGAGACATAGTATGAGCCTACGCCAACCCTTCATTTTATAATCACCAGCAACGACATTGACGAGGTGCTCTAGTGTCACAGCACGGTCATCGCCAATGAGTTTTTCCCAGAACTCGTAGTTCTTATCCGTAGGCTTGGGCTCGTACACATGAGTGTATCCATCTTCGAACTCACCACAAGGGAGACCCGTAACAGCGCCAAACTCGGCCAATGAAAATCTAAAAGGATTTCCACCGAATACCGGCCATAACTCGAACTTCTTTTTCGTGATCAATTACCTCACTATCATCGCGTGACCAAGTTTCCCCGACATCGCACACCGGCGGGCAGGTAGTTCCATAAGCCTCCCAAAAGGTGACCGCATCAAAATTTCCCACTCGTCCGAGCCTTCCAAGACATCGCGCACAAACAAAAGCAAATCAACCGTCGAATAACAATTTAATCGCCGATCTGGGAATCGATCCGTAGCAAACAGTCTCTTAGGAAGCTTCAAGTCCACACCATCGACGTCTCCTCCGCCTGAAATAGAAACGACCCACCAGATAAATTTCACACAGCCGCAAAATTTAAGTTGTTTTAAAAAAAAAATCCGATCAAAAACCCACCGTCGCCGCTGCGTCCACCGGAGATTTCTTTCCCGGGACGTTTCCGTCGAGAAGACATAAGAAAATCTGAGATTAGCCGAGAATGAGAGGCTAAACCAACTAAAAACTCGCCGCCGTACGATTCACTACAAAGGAGGAGGTTTCGTGGTCGATGGAAAACAAACGGCCAGCCAATGAGAAGAAGAAGAAAATGGCTCAAGTTAAAAATGGTTTATAATTCTGTCTCGGGTACACAACCGCTAACAAAAACAGTAAATTTGAAATTTAAAAAAAAACAAAAACAAAAGTAACGAAACCTAACTAAAAGGGTACCACAATTATATGTTTAGTTACACAATCTAGAGGGACTTTTTGTGTCTTTTCACACAAAAACTGCTCCTGTAGGGGAAACTGCCTCCACGTGCAAGAGAATCTCGTAAACTGCCTCCAGATGAAAATAACTCTTTAATTTATTTGTTAAGTGATACCTTTTGAAAAATAATAACTTTCTTAAACTAGTACTTTTGTCTAAAATAATTTAGAATATGAAACTGATGGAGTACTCTTTATAAATTATAAGTCTATTTAATTTGCAAGTAACATATCTTCTAATTAATGGCAGATTTTTAGTTAATGTTAGATTGGAATGCAACTTAGAAGTGTAAAAATTCTTTCATTCGTGAGAAACGAGATGGAGCACATCGAGAACGTTATGCCGGCAACGCGATCTCAGCCGCGGCTCTGGTTCCTTAACCAAAAAGATTTGCCAACATATTAAAAACATTTTTTTTTTTTGAATAAATATTAAAAACATTTATAACATGTAATTTGGAAAATTGATGAGTAAAATCTACATCTCACTATCCGTTGACATTTTATGATAAAATAGTAGTGGCTTTTCTACTAACAGTTAAGCAGAGGTTCTTCCGAAGAAAAGATGGACTGTTCAAAAAAAAAAAAAGAAGATTGGCTTCATTCTTATTTGCAAATTTGTTTTTTTATAGACCCGAGATGGAGTCTAAAGAAGAAAAATAAAAATACTATAAGCGAAATGAACAATTGGCAACGCATAAAATTAGTATGTTCAACTTTTTTTTTCTTACCTCGAAATAGTTTTGTTAACATACGTCACAATGGCAGTGTGCAGGATCATTGTGTGTGGACTGACGACGCCATGCATGGTGTCATTTCGCACCTGGTATATTTTGACCATAAGTACACGTAGAAAACTCTTCTAGGGATATAGTGAATTAGTTTCGCATTCCGTGAGTTTTTTAATCATTTTACGAGGTTTTGTCTTTATCTATTTTGTGGATTGTATTAACGAATCAATAATAGTATTATCGATGACTATTTAATAGAATATTAAATATAAATTAATCTGAGAATGTCTGTATTTCTAGATATCCAAAGATGTAATTCTAAATTTTGAGAATTAGTTCTTAAAAATAAAATAAATATTTTTTTAACTTATCAATTATATCAAAAGAGTCCCACTCGTTAGTGTTTTTATCCTAAGTAGGAAATTTATCAAGGAAAAAAACTATAGAACTGTTAATGATACTTATGTGGTCCATTCACTACACTTAACGGTGAATATAAATTATCCATAAAACACTTTTGAAAGAAAAACAAAGAAACGGTTACTAAGCTAAGCACATGGGAATCATAAGTAAAATGAATTGACCGGTGATTGTGGTCGCATGGTAAGGAGGTATTGGTTGTGACACTAACACGTTTTAGTTTCGATTCCTCTGATACGTGAAATTAAATCATAATCTTCTCTATTAAAAGAGAAGTACCAAATTTATCTACTATTTAGAAGTCATGTTGGACCATGTTATTAATTACTTAATTGACATATTTGATTGTTACATTAACCAGTCAAATATATATTATTTTCAAAATATCTTAATAACTAATAAGAATATTAATAATAAATAAATTTAAATATAACAAAATCTGTTGAAAAAATCTAACAAGATCTTACCAAAAATTTTAAATTATTTTTTTTATAAAAAAATATTTCTTTATTTCGTTATTAGATATTATTATAATTAAAACTTAAAATATAAATCATATATTAAAAAACTTTAGTTATATATTTATAAAATGAAAAATATACCCGCACGGATGTGCGGGTGAAACTCTAGTTATTTTTAATCACCTAATACGGATATGAATCAATATTTTATAGCGCATTTAAATAAGTCAGAGAGAGAGAGTCTAACCTTAAGTTGCACATTTCTTTGATAATTAATTTGGCTCTTCTATGGATCTGGGATATCTTTAGGTTAAAAAAATGGTTTGCATTTTAAAAATGCTGAAAAATGAAAAGGACGCAAAACAAAGTGGGACTTAAATGAAGGGCGCAGAAGGGAACAAGGTACGAAAACTGATCCCCGTTGGTAAGACCAATCTCTGTTCTCCATAAACTTCTTTTCATCATTACTTCTCCCACTCTTCCCATCTCTTTCTTTCTCACTTTCATCACACCTTGCGTAAATTTCTGTGCAGTATACAACCAAGTAATATCGTTTGTTTAGGAATATAGCAATTGTTATGTGGCTTTACGATGTACTGTTGAACGTGTAGTTCTCGTGTTCTTTCGTATTGATTCATCTCTTTTGTGTTCGCGGTTGAATCTCGAATTATTTAACATGTATCACCGTTATAGATTTGAGCGAACAATAGTTTACTAGTAGTAGTTCTTCATTTTCGAAAGAGAATTATAGCTTTTTAAACAGTGAATATTAAAAAAGTTGACAACACTACACAAACAAGATATTGGTAGACTGCTTATCATTTTCTTAGATGTTTTGTAAGAAGTGTACATTGCATGACTATATACACTTAACTTAAGCGACGCTAGATTCATTATCACCACAACTCTGTCTGTCACTCAAGATGTATGGAACAAATTTTTTAAATGCTAATGAATTTTAAATGTCGAAATACACATTACTGTTTTCTGCTATGTTCGTGCGGTGGAACATGACGAGCCGACAATAAACTGAAACATTCGTTCATAGGATGGTGAGAAACACCTAAGTGGCTTACATAAGAGTCGTGAACTCAATGGCAAGAACGTCTTTATTGGTCCAAGTTTCAACGAACCTCTGTCTGTATATAATTTTCTACCACTTGTCTTCATTATTCATCCAAATGCAACTTTTCTATACAAATAGTATATTTTATATCTTCTTTTGTAGTATGTTTTATATCTAAAATCTGTAAAATCGAAGAACAATAAAACTTGCGTTAATAATTTGTTGAAGAAATAATAAATAGAAATAGATGTGACATTCTCATAGATCATTTATTAAGGGTCTCAAGTAATATGAAAATATTTAATAATATAGATATTTATTATAAATTAATTTTAATAGAAAATTTACTAATTTAATAAAGAATTGCTAACTAGTTCTAAATATGTGTTTAAAATTATTAATCGAATGAACGTCTCGAACAATCATATTGAATTATTTATTATTTTTTGTTGATTGAAGAAACATCAATTTATAATGATATTAATATTAACCTGTTTTAAAGAGTATATTT